CATAATATGTATTATGTCTTACTTTAATAAGTAACAGAGAATGAGAGCATATACAATGTGAAAAAGAGATAAGGGTGAGGAAAATATAATGCAGTCGACCGACTGAGTCAAACGTGAACGTTTCTGAATGAAATAAAATAAGTCGATTATTCTACGACACATGGCCCTTTCAACTCTTGCATGAATCACAGCTTTTTAGCGGAGAATAAAAGTATAGACAAAGTGAGGAAGCGGTAGCAGAGCGAGGAAAAGAAGATAGCAGAGGCATGAGCGACAAAAAAAACACGTTCAATTGAAAATCCAATCAAAAAAATATGTGTCTAAAATTATTTATTCATAGTAGAGATCGTTGACAAACTATTTTAATAATTAAATATCAGTGCTCTGCAGTGGTCTGGGTGCGACCCGAAAGGTCCAAACGATCAACTTTCCAGTGGAAAAAATAAAAAAACAATTTGAATAGAACCCGTTTTCATTTTTTATAACAAATAGAATTATTATAAACGAAATGAGTCTGCTTATATTCATTTGATATGGTTAGTTATTTTATTTCAGTAACAGGAAAAATCGTGCGTTAGAAGAATTCGAATGTACCTCATAGATCCTTTTTTTCATTATTTACAACGAATTTCATTGTTATACACGAAAAAAGTATGTTTTCATTTATGGCATACGGTTGGTAACATTTTTTTAGTAAACGGAAAAATTATGCGTTAAAAGTACTCATATATATAAAAAGGGTCCGTATTTTTATTGTTTATAACAATTTGAAACTTATTATTTAAATATTACTATGATCAATAATCACTTGTTAGTAACAGTTCAATTGTTATGAACACAGTTCCATATTATTAACAATTATTATGAATTATTATAGCGTCTTTAATGCTGTTTTTTGAATCCTGACACGAGTTTAAAATTCTTTCATTGCTAATATTGTTTTTTAAATTTTTTTTTTTCGATGAAATATTGTTATCATATATCCATACAAGTATTCCAATCATTTAATATTCATATTTCTGCAATGATCTTGAAATTTTGTCCAAAAAATTCTATAATTTATAAATTGCAAAATTCAAGTAATTTCCTTTTTTTCCAGTTTTTTGATTCAGCCCAAAAAAATGGCTTTAGCGATTTTCCTGAAAAATTTCTCAGTTCTTAGGTACGTCATTACGCGTCGAATGCAATTAGTCCCACATCGACATCAGTTTTTGTTCTCGAGATAATCGAGGCGAAAAATAATTCCGAACGTACGTACGCACATATGCACATATGCACATACGCACAAACGCACATATGCACATACGCACATACGCACGAACGCACATATGCAAATATATTGCATAAATCTCTATTTTTATTGTTTATAACAGATGTAATTGTTATAAACAAAAAGAATGAGTTTTCATTCATGTCGTACGGTTGGGAATTCTTTTTCAGCAAAAGAAAAAATTACGCGTTAGAAGAATCCAAATATATTGCATGAATCTTTATTTTTATTGTTTATAACGGATTTAATTGTTATAAACAAAAAGAATGAGTTTCATTCATGTCGTACGGTTGGGAATTCTTTTTCAGCAAAAGAAAAAATTACGCGTTAGAAGAATCCAAATATATTGCATAGATCTCTATTTTTATTGTTTATAACAATTAAAAAATTTATTATTTAAATATTATTATGATCGATAATCATTTGTTATTAACAATGTTCAATCGTTATGAACATAATTTCTTATTATTAACAATAATCATTGTGATCTGCCTTCGAGTCGGCCGCATGAGCAAACTGAAACCTAGTGGACCGTAATAATTACAAGCAGAATAAGAACAAAGGTTGGATGCTAGAAGGTTCCAAAAAATAGTTTATTACCACTGAACTGCTTGGGTTTTATATATTTTATTCAACAATAACACTTAATATACTCAATAGAATTTAATAATCACTACATATAGTTGAGTTGACTGTACCATAATTGTTTGAACACTTATGAGTTGTCTAATGGTTATTTTGTCGCCAAATAACAGAGTCTCAAAAAACAGTGAATAGCAACATTCACAGTATACACCAGAGTTATTCGGGGGAGCGATGTATAGGTGAATGTCCGTGAGGCACTATGGCGTCGACGCCAGTTCAGCTTCGCGCCCAAAGACACTACAAACTGAATATACTGGACCACTTGCACTGATGAGAACAATTTGATGATTCACGTTTCTTCGTGAGAGCTGTCTGAGTCTATTTGACCGTACTTGTAACTACAAAAGGTGAGCTGACTGAAAAATCTGCGATTCGACTGCGAAAAGTTATACAGAGATGACCGCGTGATTTGCCTGGAGCTAACTGACGCCACAAGTGCTCGACCGCGTGCTTGTTGGCGTCACTAGGGCCGTAGAGTTGCCTTCTGGGCCATGAGGGAAATACTTCCCGATGATTGGTCCAGTGAGTTGACTGACGCGCCGGTGGACAAGTCCGGCATTAACTATTTTCAAATATTCTGAGACTTGCTGAGTTGGGGCCCTCCAAGTCAGAACATTGTCCCACCATCAGCAACGCCTTTGCTGATCTTCTGCTGGTGGAGGGTATGGTAAGATGACTAGTTTGGTGAGTGGTCTGATGAGTTCTGCTGTTGCTGTCCTGAGTTTGACTGTTCTGATGAGTCCGTCTGATCCTGGGAACACCTCAATCACTCTGGCGAGAGGCCACTTCGTTGGTGGGAACCTCTCGTCAGTGAGTAGTGCAAGTGAGCCGACTGTGATGTTGTGAGCGGGGTGTTTCCACTTGGAAATGGTGAGTTGTTGCTGAAGGTATTGTTTTGACCACGTTGACCAAAACGATTGGAGTCGCTGCTGAATAAATTGCCACCTGGACAAGCGTGGCATTGGCACATCTTCCAGTGAAGGCTCTGGTAATGTTACTAGCGGTTCACCAACCAAGAAGTGTGCTGGAGTCAATGCTGAGATGTCTGTAGAGTCGGCTGAGAGAGGCTCGAGTGGTCTGGAGTTAAGGACTGCTTCTATCTGGACAAGCAGTGTGGGAAGCTCTTCATATGTAAAGAGTGAGTCGCCTATCGTTCTGTTAAGATGGAACTTTACTGATTTGACTGCAGCTTCCCATTTTCCTCCCATGTGTGGTGCAGCTGGTGGATTAAACTTCCAATCAGTTCCATCCTTTGCAAATACAGCTGCGAGTTGACTGAACTGTTGAGTCCCCTGCTTGAAGAGTTGTCTGATGAGCGTGTCTGCGCCTTGAAACGTGGTGCCACAATCACTGTGGAGAGTTCTGCAGACACCTCGACGTCCAGTGAACCTTCTGAACGCTGCAATAAATGAGTCTGCTGAATAATCTGTTACAATCTCTAAATGAAGTGCAGAAGTAACGAAGCACACAAAAATGCACATCCAACCCTTAGATGTTTTGGCGCCTCTGCCTTTCCAAGTCTTGAGCGTGATGGGACCAGCGTAATCCACACCACAGACAGCAAATGGTCGGGCTGGAGTGATTCTTGATAACGGCAATTGACCCATTAACTGCTTCGCTCGTTCGCCACGTAAACGAGCACATTTCATACAATGATAAATATAGGATCGTACTGGGAGTCGTCCGCCAATGATCCAGTACGATGATCGTATGAGGTTCAGAGTTGCCTGCGTCCCACCGTGCAATGTTCTTTCATGAGCATCTGCAATGATTAGTCTGGAAAGATGAGTTTTCTGTGGTAGGATTGCAGGATGCTTTGCTTCTTGGTCCAAGCTAGCATTTGCTAACCTCCCTCCAACACGTAGGACTCCCTGAGTGTCAATAAATGCTGTCAATCGTGCGAGGGGGTGTGAGACGGGCAGTGAATTTGAGTTGATCTGCTTGATTTCTTGTGAGAAGTACGATTCTTGAGTTGCCTTTATCCAAAAAATCCTTGCTCTCTCTAATTCTTGTGGCGTGAGAGGGAAGGTGAGAGATGACTGCGGTACTCGTCTGAGGAGTTGGCTGAATCTGAAGCAAATTGCAGTCACTCTGAGCAATTTGATCAGCCGAGAATGTCTGTATATCATATCCCAATGATAATCATGTTGAATTGTCTGAGTAACTAAAGTGAGCCCGGGCCGCTCTTCCTGCTGAGCTTTTGAATCGTACACTGATGATTGAGTTGGCCATAATGATTCGTCTGCTGTTAACCACTGTGGTCCTGTCCACCACAGGGGGTGCTTCCGAAGCTGGGATATGCTGATACCTCGAGAAGCACAATCCGCTGGATTTTGTTTGCCAGGTACAAACCTCCAAACGCTGATTGGAGTGAGATCTTGAATTGCTGACACTCTGTTTCTTACAAACTCCTTCCAACGGGATGAGTGAGACTGAATCCAGGTCAAAGTCACTGAGGAGTCTGTCCAACATACGAGTTGAGTTGGCTGAATGTCTAAGTTGTTCCTTACATAAGTGATTAGTCTGGCAAGCAGCAATGCTGCGGTGAGTTCTAGTCTAGGAATAGACATCTTCTTCAATGGAGCAACCTTAGACTTTGAACAGACTATAGTTGAACAGGTTCCATGATCTGGATGAGTAGTCCGTATGTAAACAACAGCTGCCATAGCTGCTTGTGAGGCGTCTGAAAAACCATGAAGTTCCACGGTCGATTTCTGAGTAATCCGTAACCATCGTGGAATTGAGAGGTCTGAGACATGTGAGAGTTCTGATCTGAAGCTGTTCCACTTGGTGATGATGTGATCTGGGGCTTGGTCATCCCATGAAAGTTTATCTAGCCAGATTTCTTGTAGCAACATCTTTGCTCTGACAATGAAGGGTGCTAGAAATTCAAGTGGATCGTAGAGTTGTGCTGTTTCTGATAAAATTATTCTCTTTGTGAGCTTGGACTTCTCACGAGGAGGCTTTGAGTTGAACTTAAATGAGTCGTTCGCTGGAATCCACGAGAGCCCAAGTAATTTCGTTTGCTGCTCTCAAATGAGTGGATCTGCTCTTCTGATGAGTTGTCTGTAAGTGATTGAAGGAATTAAAGTGAGTTGCTGTGCCATTTCGCTAACGGGAAGCCACCTGCCATGCAGAGTTGTCTGACTTGGGTTGAGATGTCTATCAGTTGACTCACGGTGTCAGCACCTCCAAAAATATCGTCCACATATCTTCCTTTTAGTAGTGGATCAACAGCTAGAGGGAACTTATGACCTTCATCCTTTACTAGCTGGATCATTGTGCGAACAGCCAGAAATGGGGCTGACCTGGTACCATACGTGACTGTTGTGAGTTGATATGGGATTATCTTGGAGTGCTCGTCCACCCACAGGATTCTCTGGAGATCCCAATCATCTTGGTGGACTTTGATTTGCCTGTACATCTTTGTGATGTCTGATGTAAACACAAATTTATGCTGCCTGATCCAAATGAGTACGTCTGCAATGTCTTTCTGGACTTTGGCACCAGTATGTTGAATATCGTTCACTGATAGACCACTAGAAGATGGACTAGAGCCATTAAATACTACCCTAAGCTTTGTAGTAACACTGTCTTCTCTTAAGACACCATGATGAGGCAAATAATACACTGGAGAGTTGACTGGACTTGCCTTGGCTCGTGTCATGTGGTTCAGTGACTCGTATTCTTGCATAAAGTTGTGATAGAGTTGTGCATATGAGTCATTCTTGGTGAGTCGTCTGATCATGTGTAGTAAACACTGATGAGCTCTCGCTGATGAGTTGCCTAGAAGAGATGGTGATGCTTTGAGTGGTATTCTCACAATATATCTCCCATCTTGATCTCTTGAATGAGTCGTAACATAATGGTCTTCACAAGATTGATCATCTGGGCTGAGTTGGCTGGCTAAGGTCTCTGGAACTTCTTCTTGAACCCAGAATTTTGTCAAGAGATCAGATACTTGCTGGTATGAGTTGACCCTTGCTGCGTGATGAGTTCTCTGACTTGAGCATCTTGTCGGGTGTGGACTTCCAATGAGCATCCATCCAAAAATTGAATCTTGGGCTATTAGCGATGACTGAGGAAATTGTTTTATGCCTGCCTTCACAATTAGTCCATAACAATCTGCTCCTATTAAAATGTCAATGGGTCTTGGAGTTGAGTAGTCTGGGTCAGCAAGTTGCAGAGAGTTGAGAGCTGACCAGTTGAGTTCTGTGAGTTGTCTGGTTGGTAAAGTACCAGTGACACATTTGAGAATATGAGCATTGATTGTAACTTGCTCCTGTGTGTGAGTTGATCTAAGTGTCACTGTTGTCACTCCTCGAGTTTGTGCAGCTGGTTCGTTACCAATTCCCAGCACTGATATTACTGATGGACGACGTTGGAGATGACAAGTCTTTACCACACTTGATGAGATGAACGTCAGCTCAGACCCTGAGTCTATCAGGAGTCTTACTGGAAGCTGAGAGTAGTCTGAGAGTAATACTGCATTGGCTGTGGCGAGTAAGACTGCTGAGCTGTCTGATTGAACTGGAGACTCGTTCTTGCATGGATCTTCTGCTGCCCTGAGTGCTGAAGCGAGTCTTCCATGGATATCTGAGTTGTCTGTATTGTTCTTGGTGATTGTTGAATCATGTGAGTCGTCTGAGATTCGACTAGTGTGAGTTTGACTCTTTTCTTCAGCTGTAGGAGATCGAACGAGACCTTCTGACTCTTCTTCCAGGACCCTCAACCCTCCTGAGGCCGAAACCTCATGTGCTAAGGTCATCCTTTCCGTCGAGTCATCAGAGAAGCATTCTTTACTCCGGTCAGCACATGTAGATTGACATGATTCATCACCATTAATCGTTGAGTTGTCTGCATGTCGAGTGATCACACCACCACTTGGAGAATTGACTGAAACATAATTAGAGTTGACTGCAGAGAGTTGACTATGATGATGAGTTACCTGGTGAGAAGTCTGCTTAGATGAATGGGTGTGATCTGGAGTCGGCTGTGGAAATGGCACGTCATCACCTCACTGCTGGGAGGTTGATGGCTGTTGGCTGCTGTGAGTAGGCTGCGGTTCTTGGCCTGGTCCATATCCTCTTTTTCTTAGAGATTCTGTCCTGGGCGTATGGATCATTGAGTGGTGCTTTAAATTGCACGTGCTGCATCGTTTCTCTGACTGGCACACCTGGATGGAGTGGTGGCCGAAGCAATTGAAGCACAGCCGTGCTGCGAGGACCAGCTTGTACCTTTCGTGTTGTGACAGTCCTGCGAACGCTTTGCAGTCAACCAAGTAGTGATCCAAACTGCTGCATTGATCACACGGGTAATCTGCTTGTCGTTTTTGCGCCGCATGCCTGGAGGCTCGAGTTGTCTGTGGGTGAGTCGTCTGCTGTTGAGTAGACTGTTGTTGTGATCTGGACCTTCTGGTGATCACTGGAGTAGGCCACCGTTTTGCTTGACGGGCTGCATCTTGAGCTGACTCCATCGCACGTGCCCGAGTAGAGATGAAGTTGAGTAGACTGTCTAGAGTTGTCGGTGAGCGAGACCTACTTCGCTCGAGTTCCCATGACTCACGTAGCGGCTGCTCAAGCTTACTGGCCACCAGGTATACCAAGAAGTAGTTTGCTGAGTCGACTGGGACATTGAGTGCCTTCAAGGCATCTAAGTTTTGGCGTACCACGCCTACCAGGTTGTCGAGTTGTTCAGCTGACTTAGACGATGGTGTGGTCACACTGAACAGGTCCTTGATGTGGGCAAAGATGAGTTGTTCTGGGTCATCGTACCTGGCCTTGAGCTGATTCCATGCTGGCTCATACCCATCATCATTCATCACAGCATGACGGATCAGTTGAAGTGGGGGACCTGATACGTTGGCCTTCAGGTAGTGTAGTTTGGCTACTGGTCTGAGATCTTCCCGATCGTGAACGAGGGACGTAAACATGTCCCGAAACTGCGTCCACGTTGATGAGTCGCCTGCGAATGTTGGGAGAGGGATCTCTGGGAGAGTTGCCTGTCGGTAGATGATTGGAGTTGACTGCTTTGTAGAAGCCTTGTACTCATCAATGGCCTTCTGGATGTCTTTCTCGTGTAGCTCTGATTTTACACGATGGAGAGTTGACTCTATATGATAATGCAGCCGTAACGCACTTTCATACACTCTGTCGGTCATATACTGATGTTTAAAGAGTGTCAACCGACACCCTACTCCTAATGCCTCATGCTCCACCACGAAGTATGTCCAGAGGTCGTTGAGTTGTGACAGTTTCGCCTCGATTATGGGCATTGTGATGAGAGCAGGCTGTCGCACAAGATCAGCCACGTCTTGGTGCATAAATTGAAGCTGCTCATACCTGGACATTTGAGACGTCAATTTAAATAACGTGGTGTTTGCCAGTGCAGGTGGTGACTTGGACCTGTCACGTGATGTTGTTGCCTTTTCGGGAACCTTAAGTGTTGTTCCACTGGTACCTTCTGCCTGAGAGTCGACTGGAACTGGTGATGGTGCTTGGCTTACACTCACTTGCTCTAATATCTCACTAATACCTACAACTGACTCATTGTCTTCGGCTACATCAACGTAGTCCGATTTTGCCGGTGAAATTAACCGTTTGTCTGCCATTGTTCAGTTGAGTGAGTTGTCTAACGTCACTAACGCTACACTTATCACTAAGAAAGTTCACAAAAAAAATGTTGCTAGAGTTGTCTGTTGTCACCTTGATACCAATGGTGGGCTTTCAAGAAAGTCTCAACACCAAAAGAATCACACAAATTACTTAACTGAGTCTACGAGCTCTTAATAATAATTTCAGGTGACTAAACTTACACTAAGGACACTACAATAATTACCGAACTATGTTTATATACACGTGAGTTGACTGCGTCAAGGTTCTCTTGACTCTCACACAACCAAACTGCGCGCCAAGCGTCTCAAGAAATTGTTTAAGTTGTGAGATGAGCACCACTGTCTCACAATAATACAGATGAGTGTCACTGGGCACTGGAATGCGTAAACACCTTTTGTCTGTAAGGTTGTTTACACACTGACACTGAAAGTTATTTGAGTCTATCTAAATTCCAAGCACTTTATACAGAGCATTTCACAAAATATTCACAAAAATTATGAAGCCCTAGAACCTTCTAGAGTTATTCGATATGCATCCAAGCCGTTCTTATCCGGCTCGAAAGACCAAATGATCTGCCTTCGAGTCGGCCGCATGAGCAAACTGAAACTTAGTGGACTGTAATAATTACAAGCAGAATAAGAACAAAGGTTGGATGCTAGAAGGTCCAAAAAAATAGTTTATTAACACTGAACTGCTTGGGTTTTATAGATTTTATTCAACAATAACACTTAATATACTCAATAGAATTTGATAATCACTACATATAGTTGAGTTGACTGTACCATAATTGTTTGAACACTTATGAGTTGTCTAATGGTTATTTTGTCACCAAATAACAGAGTCTCAAAAAACAGTGAATAGCAACATTCACAGTATACACCAGAGTTATTCGGGGGAGCGATGTATAGGTGAATGTCCGTGAGGCACTATGGCGTCGACGCCAGTTCAGCTTCGCGCCCAAAGACACTACAAACTGAATATACTGGACCACTTGCACTGATGAGAACAATTTGATGATTCACGTTTCTTCGTGAGAGCTGTCTGAGTCTATTTGACCGTACTTGTAACTACAAAAGGTGAGCTGACTGAAAAATCTGCGATTCGACTGCGAAAAGTTATACAGAGATGACCGCGTGATTTGCCTGGAGCTAACTGACGCCACAAGTGCTCGACCGCGTGCTTGTTGGCGTCACTAGGGCCGTAGAGTTGCCTTCTGGGCCATGAGGGAAATACTTCCCGATGATTGGTCCAGTGAGTTGACTGACGCGCCGGTGGACAAGTCCGGCATTAACTATTTTTAAATATTCTGAGACTTGCTGACTTGGGGCCCTCCAAGTCAGAACACATTGACTATTTTATCATCCTCAACGCTACTTTCTCCATACCAACACAAGTTTAAAATTTCCTTATTGCTGATTTCGTTTTTTAAAAATTTTTTTTCTATGAAATACTTTCATCATATTTCTGTACAATCACTCTGAACATTTGATATTCATATTTTTCAAAAGATCTCGAAATTTCGTCTAAAAAATGGTATTATTTATAAATCGCAGAATTTAGGTAGTTCACTTTTTTTTCAGTTTTTCGATTCTGCATAAAAAAATAATTCCGAACGAACATACGAACATACGCACATACGTACATACACACACACAGACGTCCACGTGCAAACTATCGTATTCAACTCTGGGCACCTTAAAACGTGGAGATATGTCAAAATTAGCGATTCGCAAATTCGGACCCATTACTGTAACTTCCCACTGGGAAGTTAAAAAGAAAAAAAAATGTCATTTATAAATTTTTTTTAGTAAGAATTTTTTCTTGTTGTCAAATTCTTTTCTTTATCAGTAATTTGATGCTGAGTGATGTGATCGAGGCCTCTCTATATAGATTTAAATCAATATCGATCAATGATTTTTTCACCATTGGCCTCTTCGAAAAATATAAACATTTAGCCATGGTGTATGATGCATAGGACAAAATATTTAGTTCATTTTCGACAGTCAAACTGATTTAACCATACCAAGTAAGTAGTAACTTTTGCTTCATTCAAGTATAAAAAGTGTTTTTTTTTTTTTTTTAATTTTTATGCATTTGTTATATCCGACTTTATGTTTACAATTTTTCTTTTTTTTCCCCTCATATATATTGTAAAATAAGACTCAAAGACAAGACTTCTAACACTAGTGTAAAATAAGACTTGATAACAACTTCGGAAAATTAGAAAATAAATAAAAATGTTTATTAATGATTGACAGCAATTAATCAAAAAGAAAGAATCCGTGCGGTCAACTCAAGTCACAGTCAAAAACTGGAGATAAACAAACTCTCCCCTCGTTGCTATAAACAATCTAATCGTCAAGCAATCGTTGTTAACTAACAAACTGTCGTTAGTCTAATAGTCATTAGATGGCGACATACAAATATTTTACAATATATATTTCGTTTTATTTTTGGTAAACCAAAATAAAACGCATAAATAATTTTTGTATTTGACGGAAATTGAGTTTCACGCTTTCTCATGAGAAAATTCGTTTCTCACGCAGAAACCCGAAGCCCTTGCTTAATGTAAAAATTCGTTTTGTTTAAATTTTAGTTTATTGAGCTGACTAAGCTGAGAAACAGTTTATTATTTTGGCTACCTTACAAAGTAGAGGCTATATTTAAATAACTATTACATTGTAAGTACTTTTTAAATAAAACGCTGAAATCGGAAGCACTTACGATGCTTCATCGTTGCGGTCTTCTTGGAAACCCCCGGCGACTTAGACCAAGTACCAAGTTTACCTGTAGACTGAACAATTTTTATCGAGGCATATTACGCATCAATTACTCTTCTTATCTAACTAATATCTACAAGTGATTTAAATAATATTCCTACCTAATAATAGTTTATGGTTTAAAAATATTTCACACATACATTTATAAACATATATAGATATATATACATATTGATACTATTTATGTTATTAAAAGTGACATAATTTGGGTGTAATTAAAATAATAAATAAACTTCATAACGAGACAAAACCTGTGGTACAATAAATTATTAGTGCCTCTCTGGATAACATCCCGACAACCTGCAGCAGGTTCAATCTTTCCATCATCGGTCGTAGCTGTGTAGGATAAGTTATCAACAAAAAGGTAAGGTGCACATTTATCCCGATATCCAAGGAAAATCATTCTGCAAGAAAGGGTCTGAAGGATAGAGTCCTTCTGAACAAAAGATAGAGGAATTTTGTCCTCTATCTGAGATTAACTTACGTTCGCGCCTCCTGGGCCAAGTTCACACCGAGCGCTTCGAACGTATCTCATAAACTTTAAATACTGCAAAAGGATAGATTTCAATCTTAATTTTTCGCGCCTTTTTATTTAAATAAATTTTCATAAAAAGTCGGACGTAACCAGTAATATGATTATTTATTGAGTGTAACTGTGAATTTTATGAATTATTAAATGATAATTTATCAAGTGGGAGAATTTTTCTTTTTTTAAGTTTGAAATCAATCTATTATAATCGTTATTACTTTTCAAAAAAGATGTGCACTTTTATTTTCCCGGAGGCTTGGTTCGACCTACCGATCACCCTCCTAGAAATTATCATTCTAATGACTCTTGAAGATCATTGGGAAGAGACGGGAGGGATAGAATGTGCTACCCTTACACTTTGTGGCGTAACGGCTACCTGCCTAACGTTCCCCGGTAACGTTATATGGTTTCGGATAGAAGGAGACATCTCCGTCGTGCCACCACCTCTAAGCCAGGAAATCACTACTGTCGAAGACAGTGATAGTGAGGTAGAAGTTCTACCTCCTTTTCCAGCCACTGTGTCATCGGAGGATAGTGAGGTAGAATTTCTACCTCCTTCACCTCCAACAATTGATGACGATGATAATTATGATGATGATGATTCTACTGACTATGATGATGGATATAATACTGTAAGTCTTGTTTTATGATTAGTTTTTTAGTTTTACTCATATGAAAAAAGTTATTAAAGGAAATAATTTGGATTACGACAGGTACATTAATGCTACTTGGGAACCATCATTTAAGGGATCATTACTTTTTTATAAAAAAGAAAAAATATACTATAATTTTTTTTTCAATAAAAAAAAATTGACTTGAAAGAGAAATTGTTTTTACTCTAAAACCTTTTCCCAATCATCTAACATCCTTGAGACACATCACCGCCATTTTTTTTTCTTCGGTTATTTTTTTGCTGATAATTAAATATTATCGCTGAAGATAATTTATCACAAATCAGGATCGGTAAAAAAAAATCGCTGCCGATAATTTATTAGTGTCGATAACTTATCACGATCGGTAACTTATCGTCAAAGTTACCGCGGTCGGTAACTTAGCGTTAAAGTTATCGCGGTCAGTAATTAGTGCAGATCAGAACCCACTTTTTTGACTTGGCCGGTATTGCAGAGTGATCCAGAACCGGCCCTGCTTATCTACTGACGTAAAACACACAGAAAGGCGTAAAATAGGTGAAATATTTAAGGAGCAAAAGAAGATAGACACAACTTGCACGGAAGCATCCAGTACAGAAAATAAGTAAAAGAAAACATAATTTCCTCACCTTTAAAAATCTTTTACTTTTTTCTATATTAATTTTAAGGGAAATAAATTTTCAGACTGATAGAGAATAGTCTGATCTATAATTCCATCTACTTGAAATAATTAAAAACCGCGAATTAGCTCGCGGGCAATTATGAGAGCATCAATTTAAGAGTAGAAGCTACAAAAACCATGCATTTTCCGTACTTCCCAAAGTCTGTAACTTTTTTTAATATCAATATATTTGGCCTACTCTTGGCCAACATTTAATTGTTGCTCAACGAAAACCACGTGAAGGTGGTAGGCATCTTTCGTCAGGAGGGATAGGATATAGGATAGGAAAAAGGTTGGTTTTATTCTAACTTCTCAGTGATATGCGTTTTTAATTGGTGGGATTTTGCAAATCGAAAATTTTGACGTATCTGTACTGGGAAGTTAGTTGTGTGGTGTTTTGGATTGCGGTTTTCCCGTTTTTTTTTCTTTTTTGTTTTCATTCTTTGTTCACTCTTTCGACCTGTCGTCATTTTCGTGGTTCTCTACACATAGTTTTCCTTCCATCCTGTTCCTTCTCTACTTTACTTTCGATGTGGCGGTTTTTCTTCTTTTAATAGTTTATCATTCTGTCATTTTTTTTACGCAATCTTTGCCTTGTTCTTCATCGTCATTTTCACTTTCTTCGGAAGTGTCGTTCCCATCGCTTTCAGTATTTTCAGCTTCTACAATTGATTCGATCCTACCTGAAATTGTCTTTGCAAGCTCACGAGACTTATCTTTCTCTTTCTTTGCGTGCTCAATGCATCGTGGCCATAGCGTTGGCGGACCAGAATCCATAGCTTCGATGCATAGCTGATGAACATCATGGACTTTAGAAGTCTTATTACGTTTTGCGACATAATTTTTTACGTATGCCCATACTAATTCGATGGGGTTATACTCGTAATAAGCTACAGGGAGCCAGAGAATTTTGACTTCGTCATTTCTCATTTTTCTCGCAACTTTGTTCAACACATAATGTCTTGAATAGTGGTGAGGTCTCGCTAAGTTGAGCAGTTCATTCCTGTTGAGGTCTTTGAAATGCTTAACATGCGACGGAACTTCTACCTCACACTTTATCAGCCATTCAATTATCTGGAGCTTTCTCCATTGCGTTGTAGGATTGCGAAATTCTGGATCCAGCATCGTGTGGTCTGGCGCTTGATCTAGTACGATCACCGATTTCTTCGGTAGTACGCGCAGTACGTCTGCAATCCATTCCTGGTAATGCTGAGCGTTCATTTCGTCATGATAATCGTTGGATCCTTTTATTCCTACCCTTTGTCACGATATTCTTGGATTTCTCTCAAGTAATTATCGCGTTGCCCTGCGATTTTTATACTTTCCATCCATACGGGTTTTTTTGCTAGTTTATCTACAAGACAAATGCAATTTCTTTATCCATTTTCTCAGTGTGGAAACTTTGAATTCAGGAAGATCCAGTACTTCGTTACTCAAATCTTCATATAATTCTGATAATGTGGGAAATTCCTTTCTTGCATAAAAATTGTGGATTCTTTTTTTTATTAAACCTTGTAAGTTTTCGTCGCAAGGAATAGACGGCCTTCCACTTCTTTCTGAAGTTGTAACTTCGCCGTTTTTTCGCTACACTCTCAGTCAAATTTTGGCGCGAAGATTGCGTATTATCCACCTTCGGATTTTTTTTATAACTTTACAGTCTTCTACATGTGATTTATTTAAATCTGTAGACGACGAATCATCGTTATATGAAACATCATATTGTTTACCGAAACAATACTATCTATAATAATACGAAAAACGGATCGATAATCGTCATTGAAAAATTATTACCTTATGTCAGCAGAACCAGCAAGACGACGTAGTACAGCTAAAACAGAATAAAAATTCACACACATACACATACAGAATTCCACTGATATTGTATGATACCAAAAAAAGAATTCTCACCAGAAAACAATATCTAAAATCACAGCGTTTAACAATGCAAAAACAGTTGCTAATAGAAATAAATGCACGAATTATCGGCAGTTAGGAAGTCAAGAATAAAAATTCAAACGATAAATATACGAAGAGTATTTCACCGAATATACATAAGTTCAAGACTGGCTGTTAAGCATGAAAAGAGAAAATTTTTAGTGAAAATTACTGAAATAAGAAATTTTTGTAAATGTAGTGGAGGGGGGGGGGATTGCTAAGAAACGAATAAATTAGAAGACAAGGTCACGAGGAACATCAAGACAAAATAGGCATCCAGGAAGCTATTGACGTTAGCAGAAAGAAAGACTGAAAGGAAATATCGGGTATGATTAGAATACGATTTAAATAACTGCAAGACACGGAAAGTCAAAGATTTAAACCGAGAAACAACGGAGAGAGACATTAAAAGAAAAACGATGGATGCAACGTGAGAAAAAGTACAAAAGCCTAAGGTGCAGAACAATGCAAAATAGACAATTATTAGATGCCAAATATTCCCAAAGTTTCAAGGGGCAATTGAGTCGGAAAGTGACAATCTTAACAACGAAGGAATATACCTGGGGGGAGAAGGCCCGGCGTACAAGTCGGAAAACCGAAGTCAGGTCTGTGAGGATTATTGACCCTTATTCTCTCATAATTGCCCGCGAGCTGATTCGCGGTTTTTAATTATTTCAAGTTGATGGAATTATAGATCAGACTATTCTCTATTAGTCTTTTTTTTACTCTTATATGTTTGAGGAATTTCCTGAGACACAATCGGACACAAAAGCACACAAAATTTCAAACTCTTAAATATCTACGTATTGCATATTTAAAACATGAATAAAATTGATAGTGACAATAAGTTGCATAGAATACTTACTTAATTTTAAGTATTTTTAAACTTTATAGACGTTTTTACATTATATTTACAAATTTTTTATTTTAAGAAAGAAAACTTTTGACAGTGAAAATGCACTGAATCTAACTTCTTGAAGCTAAATTTTTTTCATTAATTATGAACATTATTTATTGACTTACATGACTAAACTTTGTTTAAATATCATTAAGAAGGAACGTGTATAGTATATAAACTAAAAATATAAATAATGTCTTATTGTTAACGTTAATATCTAGTCTTCATAAAAAAGAGTTGATCGTGGCAACGCTGTAATATTATTTATTTATTTTTCTCAAATTGGCAGGATTGCGCACTTTATAGTTATGTAGACAGTATAGGAAAATTGAGCTAGGTACACAGATCAGCTGAGACACTTCATTGGAGGTTAGATTTCAATACGTTATAGGTTTCACATTTAATACAATGTTAAAAGCAAATTGTTGTTGGAAAGGTAAACTTGTTACCGAAAAAACTTATCTAATGCGGCTTGCTCAACAACAGTCTGGATTAAAAAGCAGAAAATATCCAATTCGACCTGAAGCAAAAGAAAACATCGCAACTGTAATTAAAGACATAGTACCTTTGAATACAACACCTGGAATTGGAGATTATGTGCCTAATAATACAGTACCTGTGGTTATGGATGAAGTGCCTTCGAGTAAAATACCTATCATTGAAGACGAAGTGCCTATAAGTGAGATTGATCTGGAGGAAAAACGACCCGACTTCTTTCATGAACGAAGAATTGTCGAACTTGCAATTCTCGGTGACCAGTTATGGTGTGCTTTATGTAGAGAAGCACTTTCTTTGCAATACATCGTAAATGAAATAAGACGTGGTATTGCTTCTCAATATTCAGTGAGATGTCATAAGTGTCTTACTATTAATCAAGTTTCAACAGGAAAGCAGAGAGATTCACTTGACAAACGTAAAACTTATTTTGACATCAACATAAAAACAGCAATAGGTACTATTTCAAAATGAAAAGATAATAATATGCTTTATATAGATTTGACGTATTTTAATTTTTCATTAATGTTATGTAGGTGTTCTGCATAGTGGATTAGGGTGGACTCATCTATGTAAATTGTTTGCATGCATGAATATTCCTTGCTTTGACTTCAATACCTTTACGAAGTATGAATATGGAGGTGGACGAACCGCAGAACAAGTCGCTAGACAATCTTGCAGGAAAGCAACCACGCTGGAGAAGAAACTAACACGAGAAAATGCTACGATCATCGAAAAACAACTGTAATTAAGAAACTTTCATAAAGAAATATCTTAGAAACAAGTTTAAAAAACAGGGGATATTGGAAAAATTCTCTACCACATATCAATTTTAAAATATTTTTTAAGTATAGTAAAGTAAATATTTTTTTTATAATTTTAAGTAATTATACTTCTTACTGTTTCCTGACAGTTTTTCATTGCTGGTTTTTCGGTGCAATTTGTTTCTTATTTTTATAATTGCTCTGTATTCTTTAATACTAGTTTCTGGGACAACCTTTCTATATACATTCCTACTTTATGATACTATTTTTAGTTACATCTATCTACATGATTAATGATTTTAATATATAATGAACCGATATACAGACATTGTTTACAAACAATTAGTCAACAGCAGTTGTGTAAACTATTAACAAAGTTTTTTTTCAGTGTGATATTTAATATTCCGAAAATAACGTAAATAAAAAAAGTAAACTAATCCTCCTAAATTCATTGAATTTATTGCAATTTGTAAATAATTATGTGAATTAATTTTTTTTATCGACGATTTTTTGGTTCAAAAAAGCATATTTGTAAATATAATAAACGAAAATGTATTGCATTCCATTCAAGTACTGATAATTTGATATTGATAATTTTTCTTTTTTACAATCTACTGCTGTAATTTTTTTACATGTTCACTATGTTGGAAATAATAATAAATAAATTTATTAAAAATAAGATAATCATTCAATAATCTTATTTTTTTATATATACTTATGAATAATTTTCTTTATTTTTTTTTATTTTAGACTAGAACAATTCCAATCGGGTTTTATAATTCCATCTGTTTCTGACAATGAACCATCCTTAGCCGGTACCGAATTATGTACGTCCATTCTAAATCCCAGTATTTCTTCTAGTACAGATATTGAGCATCAAGCTCCGATTTCATTTGAGAATGTGATTAGATTAATGATTTCATACGATATGGGCTGGAGTACAAGAGGCGCTGGTATAAACTATGATAGCTTAAATGGTTTCGGTGCTATAATTGGTGTTTTGAGTCGGCTGGTTTTAGACTATTCTACGTGCAATCGTAAGTGCAAGAAATGTGATGTAGCAAAGCGCAAAGGTATTCGTATTCCTGTAGTCGATCATGACTGTAGGCATAATTTTAATGGTTCTGCGAAAGCAATGTTGCCACATGGAGCCACATGTTGCCAAAAAAATTATTGCTAAAAGCTCTATACTCCGTTCGCACAATGCTCACTGTGGTGTTTTAGTGGGTGATGACGACAGTTCAACCATTGCCATATGTCGAGCTGCAAGAGACCACTCAATAATCAAACAATCAGACATTAATCATACTTCTTCTGGAGTAAAGAAGAAACTATATAATATTCAGAAAAGTCATCATGAGCTGAGTAAAGATCGTATAACTTATCTACATAGATGCTTCACATATGCTGTAACACTAAATAAAGGTGATAGCAAAAGTATGGCTAATGCTGTACGAAACATTCCTTATCACGTATTTAACTATCATGATAATTGTGGCCTTTGGTGTGGATATGTGCAAAATAAGGAAAACTACGACCATAAAATTATATCCGGAAGATGTGGAGATCAATTTGTAAATATTCATTACTTAAGGAATTTCCACAAGTGATATATGGCTTTATAGATACTCTACCAGTTATTAGAAGTGTGACTGGCCGAAAAGCTAAGAATTAATCTAGTCTGACTGGATTGGCGCATTCTCTAAATATTAGCACGGCTGGTGCACATAATGCCAAAGATGATTGCAAAATACTTGCTGAAATTCTCCAAAAATTACATATATCACAAAAAGTATTATTAGATAACTTCAAAACATTTGATAACAGGATTGATGCATGGGAAGCGAATAAAAAACGGAGTATTATTTTAGGTGGCTTGATTCCTTTAAAAAATGTTGGATTGTCAATTCGAAAAAAATTGGCTGATATTAGCATACAAATACTGAAAGATATTTTCCAATCGTCAGGGCCTGATGGAGTTAAAAAATTACTCAACAATAAAATAAAAAATAAATCGTTATCGAAATTACACGTACTATCAGTTCAAAAAATTATTACATCATTTGGGGCCGAGATATTGTCCTCTGATATTATTCGTTGTTACTTCTTCGTTTTTTATGAAAAATTTC